GCGTAGGAGTATTGCTAGATGGCGTAGGAGTATTGCTAGATGGCGTAGGAGTATTGCTAGATGGCGTAGGAGTATTGCTAGATGGCGTAACAGGTGACAGTCAAGACAACATGCCAGCTGATGTTTCAGTAGTAGAGGTTTTACGGCGCTCGCAACTGCATAAGGTCATATGAGTGTCAAGGGGTGGATGTCAGCAGAGAAGTCCTTACAGGGAATCAGGACTTACTCTGCTCACCTCTCTAGCTTCAACAGCACAAAGTCTGCTTCGACTATCAAGGTACCCCGGAAATAGCGGGTCACAAGAGTGTGAAACACATACAAAAGAAGTAGAGGAAAATGACGATAGTAAGGATTAGGAAAGAAAAAGCAGCAGTTCCCTGTTGTAGTTCAGGCACAGTTATGAGTGTGACATTGTGGGATCAGCCCATTTACAATTTTACTGGGCATTAGAATGAGAAATGTCCCCCCCTTTGGGAATGGCCTAAAGACACTTTAGTTCTAAAGTGCCCAAGATTAGAGGAGTTACAAGAGAGAAATACACATAAAAAAAGAAGGAGGAGAGATCAGGACGATAAATATTTGATAGGAAAGGAGCAAACCACACCGGAGCACCTGCCAACCACCCACGAAAGACCAGACAACATACTAGCTGGCCTGGCAGTTGAAGAGTCATCAACCGATTGATCAGACAGCGTGGCAGACGCCGAAACAGTTGCAGAGTCCGTGATGTCACTTCGCTTGTCACCGACTGGAGGCGAAGCTGTGCCAGAGTTATCTTGCTCGACGGGGCCCGCTCGTTTGAACAGATGCTTCTTTTTCTTTCTCACTGGGAATAGGGTCATTCCATGAAAAACGAAACTGAAGTGAAACACTCATCATCATAATTATCTTTGTTATATTTACAATGATTATTATGATTATTATTATTTTCATCATCAGTTAATGAATTGTGAAGCGTGCTGACAAAATGAGTTACTTCTCGGATTCAGGCCTTCAGGAAATAGATACATCACACTTATAGGTGAAGTTTTTACCCTAATTTATAAGTATAGAAATAAAAGGTATGTTATACTTAAAGAATATGGCATAAAAAGAAAATCTACAAATTTGCCCCTAGTATCAATTTTTGGCCAATATCTCCTTTAGTGGACTGCGAGAAGTAACTCATTTAGTCAGCACGCCTCACAATTATTCTTATTATCATGATATGGGGGCTGTCATGGTCTAGAGGTTACGCTGTTTGCCTCTCATTTGATAAGTCCCGGGTTCGAAACCTGACAGAGACAAAACATTTTCAACTCTAAAATGTTCTCCTTTCACCTCTTTTCCTGCTCTCTAACTATGTTCTGTCGTCGGCTTTTGCCCCCCTCCTCTGGGCTCCATGACTCTTTCTGCAGCCTTTCTACTGCTTCTCCTTGGCTCCTTCTTACTGCTGTCTTTCAGCCACACCCCTGACCTTAGGGTAGGAAAGAGCTAACAACTAGCCTTTTCGGATTAGGATGAAAAATCTCAGAGGTCCCGTGTGCAAATTGCACATACTAAAGATCCCAGTAAAATATCAAAATTAATTCCTGCCAAACTGAAAATGTTAAATGTGTCCCGCACGCTCATATGACCTTATGCAGTTGCGAGCACCGTAAAACCCTTACCAAAAAAGTATTATCATTATTATCATCACTATTATTATCATTATTGTAATAATTATTATCATTTTCATTATTATCATTATTACCACTATTATTATCATTATTGTTATCATTGTTATCATTATTATCCCTGATGTTGACCAGACGACAAGGACATGTGGTTACTTGAGGGAGGCATTGCACTGCCAAAAGCGAAATGCTCGCAGCTATAGGGATTTGAAAATAACAACAACAACATCATTATTATCATTTTCTTTATTATCATTATTACCACTATTATTATCATTATTATCATTATTGTTATCATTATTATTATTATTATTACCACTATTATTATCATTATTATCATTATTGTTATCATTATTATTATTATTATTACCACTATTATTATCCTTATTATCATTATAATTATTACTTTGACTACTACTCACAAGCAGCGCTGTGCATTATCCCCACCACGGCCTTGAGCTCATCAACTGTTGCCGACGTCGTCAGAAACTTGTGGTCCAGTAACGACGAGGCAGTCGGTCGGCTCGTGGGCTGTGTGAACACATCACAGACTTAATTGCTACACAGTTACGTCATATTATGTGAGCCGTGCTGACAGACAAAATTATGTGAGCCGTGCTGACAGACAAAATTATGTGAGCCGTGCTGACAGACAAAATGATGTGAGCCGTGCTGACAGACAAAATTATGTGAGCCGTGCTGACAGACAAAATGAGCTACTTCTGATCTCGCAAACATCAAGAATGGAGATAAAATCGGCTGAAAATCAACACTGGGGTCAGATTTATTGAGTTTGAAAGTACGCCATTTTCTTCAAGTTTGCCGTGTCTTTTAATTTTCCATACTTACAACTTGGACCAACTCTACCCATAAAGTTGATGCATTCATTTCCATAAGCCTAAAATCCGAGAAGTGACTCATTTTGTCAGCACTCCTCACGTATGTATCGGGACTTGGTGGAATATTCAATAATTATTAGGCGCTCGTCAATTTATTACATTTTTTTTTCCTTAACAGTTCTTCCACACTTGCAACACAATAAGGTCATATAAGTGCAGAACATTAGAGGTGTTACAAAAGAGTAACAAACGCAAAAAAAAAAGAAGGAGGGGAGATAAAGACAACAGATGTTTAGTAGGAAAGAAGGAGCAAACCACACCAGAGCACCCTCCACTGTCAATTTTTGGGGATATCGAGTTATTGGTATCACCTTAAAGCTTGTCCATTTGTCTTGCTTTTATTGAAAAATAAAATACCCATCTATTTTGAATAGAAGTTTAGATTATTTTGATTGAAGGAGATGGGGGGGTCACCTGGATTTAGAAGTAAAATAATTATGAAAATGTGTTCCAAAGTTTGGTGACATCCACAGCTAGAGAGTCCTTGGCAACTGAAAATTTACATTTTTTGTGTGCCTTTAATCAATGTAAAAAAAATAAAAAAATCAAGCTGAAATATGTTTTAAACTGGACATAAAAGGAGTTAAGCCAAAAAAAGAGAGAAAATTAGTTTTAAAAATCACCAAATGCCCAGAAAAATGCTGGTTTCTTTGTTTTCCCTATTTTGATGAGCGCCTGATTTCACCATGATACCTCCCATATAAGTGCCAAAGATGTGTTTGTTTTAGTAAGAGTTTAACGGCAGTCGTAACACAATTAGATCATATAAGTGCCATGGATTAGAGGTGTTACAAGAGAATAACAAACACAAAAAGGAAAGAGAAGAGATAAGGACGATAGATTTCCAGGATGTTACCAAAAAGAAAAATGGGCTACGACTTGATTTTTTCAGGCTTTCGTCAATTTTGTGCAAATGAAGTTTTGGGTTTCATTCTAAAGCTCGTTTTTCTTTTCTTTTTTTTTTAGCCTTAAAATTTAAAAAATCTATCTATAATTGTGTCACAGCACAGTGGAATCAGGCGCTCGTCAGTTTTTTGGCATATGGACTCATTGGACTCATTGATACCACCCTCAAGCAAGTACAACATTTTAAATAGTTGGGGACCATTATATCATCAGATGGGAGATGTCACACTGAAATTAAAAGCCGCATTAGTCAAGAAAAAGCAACCTTCCACAAAATGAAACAGATACTAACAAACATCAATCTGTCACTGGAAACGAGAAAAAGAGTAATGAAAAGTTACATCGAGCCAATCCTATTATACGGGTGCGAAGCATGGACAATTGTGGCTACACAGTTCTGGTTCATAAGACGCATGCTACGTATCCCATGGACAGCTAGAAAAACAAATGTAGAAGTCTTGGTTGAAGCCAATTGTAGAAGACAGCTTATGACGAATATAAGAAAGCGACAGGCAAATTTCTTCGGACACACAATGCGGAAAGAAGCATTGGAGAATATTGTAACAACAGACAAGTTCGATGGAAAGAGAGGCAGAGGCAGACAGAGGGAAAAGATACTGGACAAGATGACAACATGGCTAGAAGCAGCAAGAACAACAGACACCATTGCTGCAACACAAGACAGAGTGAAGTGGAGGTCCATGATCGCCCACCCCAGTCGGCAAGGCACCGGATGATGATGACATATTTGTATATTCTCTTTTGGAGCCTGTTTATTTGTCTTGATTTTTTTTTGGAAAAAAATTATCCATCTATCGTGAATAGAACTCAAGACTTTGCGATTTAAGGAGGTGTGTGGAAGTCGCCCAGTACCAGAGGTAAAATTAGCGAGAAAATGGCGGCCAAAGTTTAGTGATTTTCATGACTTGAGAGTACTTGTAAATTGAAAATGTATATTTTTGTGCCTTGAATAACCTTTTTTCTGTATAATCCACACAGAAATGTATATTTAAATGGATGTATTGAGTGTTGAGCCATATAAAGGAAACTCTATTTTAAAACTACCAAACAGCTAGAAAAAATGCCAGTTTCTTTGATTTCATTATTTTGAAGAACGCCTGATTTCACCACGAAGCCTCACATCACCACAATACAGGTCATTTAGTGCTGGGAAAAAGTAAGACATTAAAATTTTTTTTATTAGTAGAGGGTTTTACGGCGCTCGCAACTGCATAAGGTCATATGAGCGCCAAGGGGTGGGTGTCAACAGAGAAGTCTTCACAGGGAATCAGACTTAGACTGCTCACCTCTCTAGCTTCAACAGCACAAGGTCTGCTTCGACTATCAAGGCACCCCAAAAAAAGCAGGTCACAAGAGTGTGACAAACATACAAAAGAAGTCGAGGAGAATGACAATAGTAAAGATCAGGAAAGAAAAAGCAGCAGTTCCCTGTTGTAGATCAGGCACAGTTATGAGCGTGACATGAGTCAGCCCATTTACAATTCTACTGTGCTTGAACGAGAAATGTCCCCCTCTTTGTGAATGGCCTAAAGACACTACAGTCAGTGGCACTGCCCTGGGGGGGTAAAGTAAGACAGACGTACAGAAACGACTGAGTGAAAGCAAAGAAGTAGGACCTAGCATAGCAGTGGTATCCTTCAAGTAGCCACCCTACCAGTAGCACCTTCTCACCAAGCACAAAAGTCGAGATATTTCTCACTAAAGCGAGTGAGGGGTGGCAAAGTGTCACAGATAAAAATAGCGAGAAAATAGCAGCCAAAGTTTACTGATTCTAAATCTAGAAGTGTCCATGTAAACTAAAAGTGTTTTTTTTTAAAAAATGCCTTTGATCAGTTTTTCAGAAAAATCAGTGCATATGTGTGTTTTTAAATATATATAAATGGCCTAAAGCCAAAAATCAAAACAAAAAAATCGATAAAAATTGCTTAACAGACACACAGAATAATCCCTGATCTAACACACATGCAGACACACATACAGCCACACATACAGCCACACATACAGCCACACATACAGCCACACACACAGCCACACATACAGACACACATACAGCCACACATACAGACACACATACAGACACACATACAGACACACATACAGACACACATACAGACACACATACAGACACAAATACAGACACACATACAGACACACATACAGACACACAGAACACCCAGTACCTCAACATGCAAGCACTGATCCATGAAATCCGACATATCCGGGGTCATCCGACCTGTCTGTTTGACTTGAGGCTGGGGGGATAGGTATGTTTTGATTTAGTAAGATTTTTATGGCACTTGCAACACAATTAAGTCATATAAGTGCCGAAGATTAGAGGTGTTGCAAGGGAGTAACAAACACAAAAGAGAAGGAGGGGAGATAGGGACCATAGGTGTTTAGTAAGAAACAAGAAGCAAATCACACCAGAGCACCTGCCATTAAAAGGTACAATCCTCAAAGAGATAATTATAACAGTAATACAAATATGAAGAGGAGGAAGAAGAGGATGAGGAAGAAGAGGAGGAGAAAAAAAGGAAGAAGAATTTATCTAGAGCCTCTCAGCAATTTAGTTTTAGTAGACGTTTTACGGCTCTCGCAACTGTATAAGGTCATATGAGCGCCAGAAGATTAGAGGTGTTACATGAGAGTAACAAAGATAAAAAAGAAGAAGGGGTGATAAGGACGATAGATGTTTGATAGGAAAGAAGAAGCAAACCACACCAGAGCACCCGCCAACCACCCACCTTCAGCAATGCAATCGAGTTAGATAAACCGTAAAAGTAAACTTTAGAGCTCTATTCGGAACTCACTTGACCCTAATCTGCATATTCAAAGTTTCCACTACACCC